GCGTACACGACCGAATGAGCCCGTCCCTAACGTGTCTCCCAGCTCGAGGTCGGACAACTTCCAATTCGAGCTGTCTGGTTTCTCATACAGGCTTGCGTCTTTCATTGATGCGGCGTCTTTCGTATTATTTTCTTTCTCGATTTAATTTCTCCCTTATTTCCTATCGCAGGGGTTAACAGATAAAGAAATGAGAAGATCTCTTGAAGCAATAGCACACACAGAAACCGACAAGACCAACATTTGCCCACTGCTCGCCATCAGCTACACAAGAGCACAGTGGATCGCATGTGGAAGCCTCGCACGTGATCCAGCATCATTACTTTTTTTTGTTATTTCGTTACACGGCAAAAATTGCACATTTCATGAAGCCAACAGCACGTGATACGAAGGCGTTGTTATTAATCTCGCATCCCGTCCCTCCCACAGCTCCGCACGCCTTTCACGTAGTGAAGCAGGCTATCATCCCCATTTGGAAATGTATAAATCAATGTAAATGGAAGCAACGAATACCCATCCTACTTTGCTTAGCGTCGTGACGGCAGTGAGTATGTATAGGTAAAAAAAGGCGATAAACAACCGCAGAAATTCCTCTAGTCTTGGCGTGACTGCGGGCTGTTTGTTGCCGCGTCCTGAGCACACCTCAGCTGGAGATACTTATAGAATGCCATCGTGAGAGCCGCGTTGGGAGCTGCATACGCAGTTCTGCTACCCACACCCCGCCAAAGTGCTCGGGGTCCTTCCTCTCTTACCACAGCGCACAAGCCGTCGACAAGCCCAGTGTAGCGGTAGTTGAACCCCTCCACAGTTGTAGGCTTTCCATCAATCAACAGCACTACCCTCTGTACTTGCAGACGTGTCTTGACGTACTCCAGTGGATTTGTCACGATTGAGGCAGCGATGTTAGCCAAACCGCCAGCATACAGCGCGGCTGTGAACGCTCCAAATGAGAGACGGTTGGAAAAAATATCATTAAGAAACTCATAAAACGCAAAGTATACTGCCGAATAAGGACCAAATGAGGCCAATGTAGACCCATAGCCTTTGTACAGACCTCGCAGGCCTTCGTACCTTGTTACAGTACGGAGCGCATCCCAGCTGCCTGTGTATCTCCCCGGCTGCGACGGGGGCTGTGACTGCAAGCGCTCCTTCGTCACGTCGATGGGCACCCAAAAGGCGCAGCTAACCGTCTCTGCGAAAAGGCCGCACAGCAGGTAGATAGACCACGACGGCACGGCACTCCCGGTATCCACGAACTGGGCCTCACGCTTCTGGCACTGGTGCTGCAGGAAGTCGCTCGCCCACGTGTATGTGGTGAGGTAAAGAGCTACGCCGGGGGCGGATCCGAGTGTTGCCACGCCAATACCCCGGTAGAAGCCCGCCACACCTTCCCGCTGCCAAATCGAACAGATGGAGCTAAAAAATGCAGACGACGAGGCTGCGCGCGGTCGTGCATTCGTCACACGGTGCTCGCCGCAGAAACCCGTGAAAGCAACCGTTTTAGTTGTATCGAGCGGGTGGCAAACGAGACGGGCCATCATGCCCGCCATGGCAGCGCACAATACGTCCATCATGCAACCCGTCTTGGCTTCCCTGCTCTACTGGAAAACATGTAACAACAAGACCAAGAACAGAATGAAATTGAAAAAAAAA